CGGTCAAAACTACCACAGTGGCATCCTTTTTTACCAGGGCCGCTGTGATATGGCTAAGACAAATGCAGCAGCAGGTACCAACAGACAATATAAGAGCCCACTTAGACTTTAACAAAGTTATAGCTGCATCGAAATATATGGCTGACGCAACTTTGAACTCGGGCCATGTCTTCGGTAATCTTCGGCACGCAGATTACTCTGGGTCAGGTACTGGCAAGCCGATACTAAGAAGAAATGGAAGCTAGCATCTGCACCATACAAAGGGGGAAAGCTATTTGGGGCATCCTTAGATCCTGTTCTCATCGAATCTAGGGACAAATGTAAGATATTGCCGTCAGTCTTAAAGAAAACAGACAACAAATTCTCTCCCTATTACAGACGCTCTTTTCGCGCACCCTTCTACAGGTCTACCAGTCAAAGAAGTCAAGTAAATTTTGGCCAGAGGCAACCTTTTCAACAGGGCACAAGCAGCAACTACAAGGCAAGATCTCAACAATAGTCCAAACGACCTTTCCGTGGCTCATCAAACAGACCATTTAAAAAATTCAAATAGTCACTTGGATATTCCTGTTGGTGGTAGATTGCAAAGTTTTGCACACCATTGGGAGAAAACGACCTCGGATCTTTGGATCAGGCAGACAACAAGGGAGGGTCTGGCACTTGAATTTCAAGCCAGACCCCCAAGATTTTTTATTAGGTGTCCAGTATCTGCAAACATACACAAAAGGAGAGAAATGGAGGAGTCAATTCAGCACCTATTGACAATACAAACTATTGAAGCAGTTCCAAAATCATCAGGGGGATGGAGGGCTATTTTAAATCTAAAAAGACTAAACTCTTTTGTTATTTATCGTAGGTTCAAGATGCACATGCTTCAATCTATCTTGAAGGGCATGAGACATGGGAACTATTTAGTTTCAATTGACCTTTGCATATTCCAATTTCACCTGACCAACGCAAGTATTTAAGATTTTGTTATGCAGGTCAACATTTTCAGTATAGAGCACTCCCCTTTGGGTTGGCGTCGGCACCCAGAGCATTTACTAAAATCCTAGCAGCTCTACTAACCCATCTTCGAACTGTTCCAATTAGGATTCTGGCCTACTTGGACCATATTTTAATACAATCAGTCTCCCACAAGTTAGCTATTAGAGACCTAACCATCACCTTACAAACATTACAATCTCATGGGTTTTTGGTTAATCAAGAAAAAAGTCATTTTGAACCGTCTACCAGAATTCTACATTTAGGGGCAATAATAGATACCGAATCAGAATTAGTTTTTCTCTCTCAACAAAGAAGAGAATTAGCATTAAAGAATTAGCAGCCCATTTTTATTGTATAAAAAGAGCATCCCCAGCCCAAATGTCAAAATTGTTAGGCAAAGTGATATCCTGCATTGATATAGTGCTTTGGGCACGACTGCATTCTTGGGAATTGCAGTGGTTCTTATTACCCTTTCAGAGATCCATGAAGGGCACCTCTCCCATCCAAGTGAGATTGCCAACCAAGGTTTTAATAACCTTGCTTTGGTGGACTTCTTCAGCATTAGATAAAGGATGCTGCTTTAAAGACAGGGGGTTTACAACAATAACTACCGATGCTAGTCTCTCAGGATGGGGGCCCATTGTCGAGAACAGGTAGCACAGGGCATTGGGAATACTGGGGACCTTCAGCATAATATTAATTGGTTAGAATTACGAGCAGTCCATCTAGCTCTCAAGGAATTTGAGGTGATGGTGTGGCCACTAAGGCACACATTAATTGTCTGGGAGGAACACAATCAAAGTCATTACAAAAAGAAGCTTCTTGTCTCTGTACATGGGCAGAAAAAAAAACTTGATTTCAATCAAAGCTGAACACATTTCAGGAACACAAAATGTCAGGGCAGATTGGCTAAGTAGATCTACAATAGATCAGGGAGAGTGGAAGTTGCATCCACTTCTTTTTCAAGAAATTTCCAGCAGATTTGGTCACCCAGTATTGGATCTGTTTGCATCTGAGTCGAATCTTCAACTGCCTCATTTCTTCTCCAGGTTTCTGTCCCGGGGAGCGGAGGGGGTCAATGTCCTTCATTGTCCGTGGTCAAAGGGACTCCTTTATGCCTTTCCTCCATTACCTCTCATCTCAGCAGTTGTCAGGAAGACCTTACAGCAGAAAGTGGAGATTCTCCTTGTATTGGCCCAGGAGGCCATGGTTTGCAGACTTGGTCAGTCTGTCAGGGTCATGTCCATGGAGGATTCCTCCCAAAAGGGTGTCTCTCAGCCAGGGGCCAATTCAACACCCAGAGTCTCAGTGGCTTCAATTGGCTATCTGGCACTTGAAAGGAGACTGTTAGAAAAGGTGGATCTTTCCACACAGGTTATTAACACTATACAGGCAGATAGAAGACAATCCACTATTAGGATTTATGAGGCTACCTGGAGAGTTTTTTGTAATTGGTTCAAGGATAAGGGCTCAGATCCTGGAGAGGCTTCCATCTCACAGGTTTTGGAATTTTTACAACAAGGATTGGACAAGGGTTTTGCCCCAGCAACTCTCCGTAGACAGGTTGCAGTGCTCTCATCGGTAATTTCATGTACAAGTTCGGATGTCACAAGATCCTTTAATTCGGCGTTTCCATAAAGGGGCAACAAATTTGAGACCAGGGGTCATTAATAGATTTCCATCATGGGACCTTTTCAGGGTACTGCAAGCCTGAAAACACTTTCACCTTTTGAGCCTTTGAGAATTGTCAGTCTATAACACTTATCGTATAAAGTTATTTTTCTAGTGGCAATTACGTCTGCCAGAAGGATATCTGAGCTTGCAGCTCTGTCAATAAGGCCTGATCTCTGTATTTTTCACACCAATCAAGTTGTTTTAAGATTGGATCCTACCTTTATACCAAAAGTAAATTCTCATTTCCATAGGGTGCAAGAAATCGTTCTTCTAAATTTTTGTCCAAATCCATCTCACCATAGAGAGAAACTTTGGCATACCTTAGATGTAAGGAGAGCTCTCCATATCTACATAAAAAGGACAGCTTCCTTTACAAAGAGGGAAGCACTGTTTATTTCTTATCATCAGAAATGCTTGGGACAAAGGGTGTCGTCTTGTTCCATAGGCAGATGGATTAGAGCAACCATTGCTAACATTTACAAAGCACATGGGTTACCTATCCTATCTTGCATCACGGCTCATTCAACATGTAGTGCAACCACTACAGCAGCTTGGAGTACTCAGGCTTTAGTGGAAGAAATATGTAAGGCGGCGACTTGGTCTACTCCCTCACTCCTACTCCCTGTTAGACATTATAAACTGGATTCTTTCGCTTCCGCGGAAGCAGCGTTTCGAAGGAGAGTACTTCAAAAGGTATTGCCAGAAGATTGGACTCATTAGGTTTAGAATCCCTCCCAACGGACATTGCTTTGGAATGTCCCATGCATGGATCCTGTCGAAACCATTCTGGAGAAGGAGCGTTGGTAGACTTACCTGTGAATGCGCCTTCTCAGATGGTGAAGACAGGATCCAGACCCACCCATTTGTTAGATTATGGCAATCATGTTGTGTATTGGACTGAAATGTAAGTTATTACTAATCATGAATGTTATACAAAGTTTGGACTCTTGCAGCGTATACAGGAAAGCCTCGACTTCATTCAGAACTGGAGACAGTGGCCCGGGGGGGGGGGTGTCTTCAGTTTTTCTATTCAGTCTACAGTCAAACAGCTGAATACATCCCATTCATGGATCCTGTCTTCACCATCTGAGAAGGCGCGTTCACAGGTAAGTCTACCAACGCTCCTTTCTGCCACTGACTGCAATGTAGGTAACCATACTTCTAAAATAAGGTTGGGTTGAACTGATTAAGTTAATGTGCTTTGTAATCATGTTGCCAAACATTTCTCTTAGACCTGCTCCTTTTTAAGTAGCATTTATTTGCAACTTATACACTAGCCTTTGCCCCTGTGTAGAAAGAAAATAAAGGGAGGATAATGGAAGTTCTCTTCTCTCCACTTGTTTTGGCAACGTGAAGGCTGGGATCCAGTACAATTACTAGATTCATAATTATGCAAGAAAGAAAACCTCAGCTTCTGTTTCTTGAAGACATTTATACTCTTCAAGCCTCTGGAAACTTTAAAACTTTCAAATAAATTTCAATTAGTTTCCTTGCTAGCAACAGTGCAATTTGGTGAATGTTTATTACTGTTCAGATCTGTCCAGAAACAAAATTCTGGATCAGCATGTGATATCAAATTTTAATTCTATTTCTCTTCTCAAGTAAGTGTTTGTGTTTCCTATATTTATGCTTTCAATTATTGACTATGGAGTTGTATTTCATGGTACAAATCTATTAAGTAAACCAGATATGTGCATCGAAACCACACAAGCTTTGCATGCTAGCCTTTTTAGGTTAAACTCAGCATTTATTCATCTGTGTCATAGACAAAAATGATCACCAGATTAAAGAATACAATGCAAGCATTACCAGAGCCACAAAGAATTCCAGGGAAATGGAAAATGTTTCCATTTAGTCACCAAATGGTTAATGTAAAGAAGCTTGTGCTGTAACTTAATTTATTTATAAACCCTTTGGAAGTCTCAAGCTGACAGGAAGACAGAATGCTTATTAGGGCCTTATGGATACAAGTGGGCTGCATCTTCCTGGCACATGAATAACTTGACAATACAGGACACAACAGACATAATGGTGAATGTTACACTACATAACTGCCAATGCAGCATATACCCTCTTCCTTCTTTCCTTCCTTTCCCCCCTACTCCCAATTATGTCTGCTTCACAGCTTTGATTCCCTGATCCAACTGACTACTAAGTAAGTACATTAAATACACATAATAGCCCATTATTCAAGACACCTAACTTGGAATTTACATAGACAATTATATTGAATCATTCCTTTATGGATATGTGTACAAGGGATGAAGTAACAGTACTGCATTTTTTTAAGTTGAAACTTCTGAAACGTATATTGCTGAAGCATTGGCTGTATTACTCACTTCACTCCTTGAAGCAACAGCTCGGTGGAGAGGAGTCAGCCACATGTTGTCCTTGGCATTGACCCGGGCTCCTGCAAATCAAATGGACATCTCTTAAATACCACCTCACCCCAAAGTGAGGTTTGGTAAACAGAACAGCATGCAATATGAAATGTGTTCCAGACCATACTCCCTCGTTTTTTTGATAACAAAGGCAAAGTAAGCTTGCTGACTCCCAAAATAATCCTGGAGAGTTGACCAGGAAAGAGAAGCAAAAAGGATTGATTTTCTTAAATTAATACCTCCTAGAGAGAAAGAAAACTAGCAGCAGGAAAGACCTAGTGAGGCCAGGGATGGAAATATAAAAAGAATACTATTTTGAAAATGATCAAAGGTATTCAAAATGTAATCAGAGCTATTAATTTGTTTGTTTTTATTGCCTTTATTGTTTTTATAAATAACTCAAGGTGGCAATCACATCTAATATTCTTGCCTTCTCCTTTTATTTTCCCCACAAAAACAACAATATGAGGTGTGTTGGGTTGAGTGACTGGCCCTAAGGCAGAACTAGAACTCACTGTCTCGTGGTTTCTAATCTGATGCTTTAACCAGTTACTAAAAAACCATGAAAGGCTTCTGCAGGTAAGCATCAACAGTGTGATTGTAACACTGTCAAAGACCAGGCGGTCCTATCATTTGCATTGTTGATACTGATGCTGCTCATACATATCCTATTCTGTGGCTATCCATACTTATACAAAAATTAAGTTCATGTGTCCTGACCAATTGCCCTTCAAATCTATACCCGGAGCAAATGAGAAAGTGGAGAAGAAGGGGAAGGTCCAGAATTCATAGCTTCACTGAGACGGCATTTTATTGCTTTATTGGATTCCCTTCTAAAACCTAAAATAAGCTGGACATTCATTTGTTCGTTCATTCATTCATTCAATTTCTATATCTGCCCATCTCAGCTATGTGACTCTTCCCTATTCTATTAGTAGAATCCTCATGCTACTATTTTTTTAAACAAAAGACAGCCCTTATCAATGCTACTTGTTTTTTTCATTCCACCCCAAATCCCTTTCATTCTGTGAATGTGCTATTTTCTATTGCTAGTGTCCTATTGTTGTTTAATAATATTTAAACAGAAGACGGAAGAAATCTTTTTGTCATCAATAGGCCCAATACTTTAATATGTAGTTTGGATAGAATTTTTTTAAAGAAAAAGAAAAAAAAAAGAAGTGAATTCACATTTTTACTGATTGCTTGGCTGCAATCTCTGAAAAAATAAGGTGTAAATTTTCCTGGGAAAATGAAACACATTTCTAAACACACCACAGAAGTACAGTAGGTGCCTTGTCAATCAGATCTGGTTTCCACATCCTCTGCCTTTGCAAAATTGCAAGGTGCTGTTTATCTAACATAGGTTATCTGCACATCCCATTTCATTTATGTATTTAAATGTATTTTAAAAGCAACTATTCAGGATGTCTGATTAAGAATGGAACCTTTCCCACTGCTGCAAAAGAGCCATTCAAATGAGTTACCTTTTACTTTAAAGTAATATGACCCTGATATTATACTGCCTTGCTGGCTCAAAGATTATGGCTCTATTACATAAAATTCTTGTAGACCACTATTAGGCAACATATTTTAGGTTACAACTTCCCTAAGTCTCAACCAGCAACTCTCAGAGCTCTGCTTCTGCACCTCACACTCAGAGATAAGACAGTGTTGGTTGACAGAAGAGCATTAATCCATAAACCAAATTCTCCTTCCTGATCATCTGGCTGATATTCTGTATTTGATAGCACAGTATTGAATTGGGGAGTAGAGACCACGCTAATCAGACCACTTGTGACTCTTGGGAACCTCAGGGTAGAACTGCCACTGGGCAGCTCACCCTTTCACAAATCTAACACCGTTCTAACCAATATTAAGCGTCCTGCAGATGTGCTCAGACATTCATTTTAGCAGCTTGAAAGAGCCAAGCTTCCCTTTGAAGTTTGCTGTGCTGCTGAACACCGCCTTTGGCCCACAGCTAGCAAGAATCAAGCAACCTAATCTGCTCTGAATTGTGTAGCTAATAATCATATCATAACATGGTTCTTTATCAAATTTAAAGCTTTGCTGACGGGGTGATTTCAACAGAGGAACAACAACATGGAGGGGAGATTTATACCGCTATGAGACCATGGCCCTTGATGGTATAAAAATTTAATCAGATACATAAATAAATTAACATTGGAGGGTGGGTGGGGGAAGTCTCCTTCGTGCCAAAACTAATTTTATGTAACAAGAGCTATTTTTGTCATGGTGGCAGAAAGGGGAGAAGGGTATCCCTTCTCTCTTTGCAGCATGCTCCTGATAGATATCTGTCTCGCCCAAATGGTTTTCAATTTTAAAAATTTCAGAAATGGCTGCTAGCCATAGAGAACAAGCAACTTTTTGTGGGGCCCCTTTGATGCTAAACAATTCAGGTATTGAACCGGAAATCCCTGATGTGAAAACACGGGTTCTGTGAATCAGTTGTGTATAAATTCAAGCAGGATTTCCAAAATCCTTTTATCCCCCGCCTCACAATCTCAGTCTGACAGCTTCAACCTACATAAACAGTCACGCTGGCTCCAGTTTCATCGTGCTGTTTTGAAACATCTGGCTGCTGGTCTTCTGCATTAACTCTGAATAATCTCTGTTTAATGGTAACCCAGAGGCCCATTCCTGATATGTCTCAATGCAAAGGACATATGCTTTATTCATTACATGCTATGTTTATTTGTACTGCTGGTGCACTAGTTCATGTGCCACAAGACTAACTATCAACATATTTCACCAAATTTCTCTCCTGAGCCTTGAGGGAAATTCAATGGGCCAATTCTTTTTGCAGGGTCGATCTAGCCTCCACAGCAAGGGGAGGTTATAAATCCTTCTTGCGTTACTTTACATATAAAAAATGAACAGAAAAGTTTTGAGGAGTTTTGCTGTCTGCTGTTTATGCTGATCAGTATTCAACCAATCCATGTTTTATGAAGCATCATCCAAAATGCAGACCTATTTTTAACAAACGAAACTGCATTACTTTGATAGAAAGAGGCACTACAGCAAAGTAATTTATGAGTCGTAACCTTGTATTACTCAAAAGGAGTACAAGCAATGATGTCCTTGATAAATAGTGGCACTTCAAAGTTTTGTAAGTAGAAAGCACACACAAACACAAAAAGGTAGCATTGACCAAACCTTAAAAACATGATTGGGTTGTCTTCAAAAAGGAAAGGTGTATTTATTTATTGATATGCAGTTACTTTATTTATCTCATTTGTATGCCACCCATTTCCTTTGAGGATAACTTCTACTTTAGAAGGAAGAGCTCTCTAAAATAGGTTTTTGAATATTGTATCCCAATGTTTTCATCAATGTCTCCACCAATACTGAAGCACAAAACAAAGCTTGACATCCAGAAAACATATTTCAAGCATCCCAATGGGTTCATATTCATTATCTCCATAATCCTTACACATGATCTTGGGAGGAAGGTCAGTTTTATCAATTCAGTAAAGAAGCATCAGGGAGGATAAAAGAAAAAACTGGAACATGGATTCTTCCACAGATGGCCCTTGACTTATGACCATAAGAGCCATGGTGCTAGAATGCTATATTGCAGGCTAATTCTGCAGACTGCCAGGGCTTCAGTCCTCACCGTCTCAAGGTTGACTTAGCCTTCCATCCTTCCGAGGTGGGTAAAATGAGCACGCAGATTGTTAGGGGAAATATGTTGATTCTGTAAACCACTTAGAGAGGACTGTAAAGCACTGCGAAGCAGTATATAAGTCTATTGCTATATACAGTATTTAACAGTGGTTTGAAGTTATGATGGTCTGGAAAAAAACGACTTATGTCCTACCCTCAAAACTGTTACTTATTGTCATGTTTTGTGACTTTCCCAGCCAGTTTCCAACAAGCAAAGTCAATAGGGGAAGCGAGATTTGCTTAACAACAGCATGATTCACTTAACAACCATATGATTTGCTTAACAATTGGATGATTCACTTAACAATCACAGTCAAAATGTCGTAAAATCTGGTCTGGCCATGTGGTTAACATTCACATCACTTAAGAATCAAAATTCCAGTTCCAATTGTGGTTGTTAAGTCAAGGACTGACCGTAATAACGATGAAGCACTAAGTTAGAAGCAATTTTCTGCAGATATTTTTCCTCCATATTCTTATTCTCCTTTTCCAATTGGGTTGATTTCTGGGGAAAAAGAGGAAGTGTAGGAGGGGAAGGCTGCTTTATGCTGAGTTCCAACTATCACTTCATTTAGCCTTGCTTTTTCTACTTGAGGTGGTAGCTCTACACATGGCACAGAAGCAGAAAGTCAATGGGACCATCTGTCAGCCTTCAAGATCTTCTTCCTTTGTTTTGCTTCTTTCTGGCTGTCATGAGTAATGGGGGGTGGAAGGGGAAAAAGTATGGGAAGTGAGCTGGAGGTGTTACTAACTAATATTGTATAAACTGAGGAGGGTTTCTATTTCTTGCTTAGCTTTCTCTTCTCTGTGCAACTGCAAACCTTTATCTGAGTAAGCCAAGGTCAACTAATCATTACCACCTGAAGATGTCCACATGATGAGGTTCACAACTTTTAATTGGAAGAACCGTTTGAACTATTGGGGGTGGGAACATTTCAATCCCTTGATATATGTGATGTATGTGCCTATTTCCTCAGATTCTGAATTCTCTTGTTGCTACCACTTGACTTCCAGTAAAAGATATCTTTTCTCTAATTACAAGAGTCTAAGTATTTATTTCTTGGATTTTGAACGGAGCACCAGCTGACACCATCTATCTTCAATTATTTTTGCCTGAACCACAAGAACTGATAAAATGGACATGCTCCAGGTCTCTTTTTATTAAACACTGTGATCTGATGGGATCCAGGAAATGTGCCTGTTATGGGTCTCTCATATGAGACACCATTACTCCCAAGATCTGGATGGCCTTACTCCTGTTCGCCTTCTTTAAGGCCTTAAGGACCTGGCTGCTCCACCAAGCCTTAAATTAAGATTTTAAGTAAGCCTGACTTCTATTATTTTTATGTTGGGAAGTTCTTGAGTTAGACCTCAATGTTTTTTTACTTGGTTGATTTTTTTAGTACTAATGTTTTAAACTATTGTAAGCCTAGACTCATATGTTTAGAAATATATCTTTCACATAAATCAAATCAATGCACAATTTGGGATATTTCTGATCTACCACTATAAAACCTTCAAAGTAGTCCAGTTGGGAAACCAGGACCCCAAGTCTTATACTACTTTCATTGGAAGATTACAGTAACAAAATCTTGAAAATCTGAAAGCACCTCTTCCCTACGTTACTTCTACTCTTCCCCAAACTAGGGAAGGTCCCTTCTGAGATACTTTCTCCACCCACATTTATTCTGTAGATTGAGATAACACTTGTCAGACAGTTGCCCTGGCTGCAACTCTTCCTTATGTATCTCTTAAGGTACTGTCACAACTTATTTAATTCACTCCCAAGCATCTTTTCAATAGTTAATGTTAAGGAATGAACATGCAACCAGTGAACTATGGCCCCTCTTCAAAGTAACTTGAATAACTAGACAATGATGGGGGTCCAGTCAAGGGAAAACATTCAACTGTCTCATTTTATGCTTCACTAATCAGACTCATTAGACCTGAGTTTTGTACTTTTCTGATAGAAACCCTCAGTTTAAGAAATAGCCTAGACTGTGATATAACCTTCACAGGAGTGACAATAAGTATGTTTTTGTAACTTCTGCAAAGAAGATCAGAAGTCACTTCTTTAAATATTTTTCTTTTTCTTCTCTTATCTACTGTGCTTTTTCTTTATCTTTTCTTCTTAGCATCAGTGGTGGGCTGCTGCCTGGTCGCTCAGGTTCAGGAGAACCTGTTGAGGTATTCCCTGTTAGGAGAATGATTGCACTCAGGGAAACATAATAAGAGTGGTGATGAATAACACACAACCAGCACACAGATACACTGAATAGTAAAATGTAAGTTTTACTTCCAGTAAATGGGTAAACAAAGTCCAACAAACGGTCCAAATCATACACAGTTAAAGCAGTTAGTATTCAAAATAATCAGTCCAGGGATAATCCAAAAACGAAGTTCTTTTCTTTACCAGTATCATAAACAAAGTTCAGTAAACGGAGTTTGCTAACAGTTGCAAGACTCACAGCAATTCAAGCAGAACGACGACTAGGCAAAAGGGAAATGCAGAGAACAAACCAGGTTTCTGGCTTCATCTTATGGCCATTGGAGGAACCTCAGCCAATCACAATTACAGCATTATCTTAAAGATACAACAGTATTAAATGACTATCCTGGTTTATATATTGCCAACCCAACTGTTAGGTGACTATCATTCCTAACAGAACCCTTTAGTTATGAGAACTGTCTGGGCCCACCCACCCACCCACCCGCTGCTCCACTAGGCTTTCCATATATAACTAACGTTCTGCCTTATTCCCCCATGCATGCTGCCCAGCTGAGATCTGTGCCGCCCCTGCTGTACTCACCGGAGCTGCCTAAGTTGATTAGCTGCATATTTGAAGCTCCGTTTCACTCTCAAAGGGGCACGTGCGAGCAAAGCGATTACGCGTGTGTTTGCATGCTCACAACCTGCAAACCGGTTGGTAACGTAAGTGCAGCCCACCTCTGCTTAGCATTAACTAATAAAAAGTTTTTCTTTCTTAATTTTGTATTCTATATTTTTCCTAAGTTTATCTTTTATCTTTTCTCAGAAATAATGTAATACTATATTGATTAGCCATTAAGCCATCTCAGAATACAAACCATAAAACACACAGTAATAAAATCCTATATTAACAATGGAATACAAGCAATAAGAAAATGCAAATCATATTTCCGTGTCACAATTTACCCCAATCAGATCCACATATATAGTTCTCAACTGTACTGTTTTGGACAAATAAATTGCCATGTTATATGTAATTTTTGCATTCTGATTGCATATGAAATATGTTGTTTTTCTATAAGGATCCCAATAGGTCATTTGTCTAATGTGCAGTCCAGATAACAGATATCTCTTTCTTTTACAATTGATATTCAAATACTGTAATATATGCGTTATGTCTTCTATCCCTGGGGCTCTGGCTAATACAAGTACATTCATTGTAAGTGCTGCCTAATAGCTAATCAATAAAGTATTATTAAGTAGATGTGTGAGTTTTCACATTCAGAATTAGCTTTTGGTTTTCTATTTTGAGTATCTGCTCTTATTTGAAGAAGAATAACTCTTGGCCACATATCAATTATTCATAATGGGAAAAATAATTTTAACAAAAAAAATGGTGCTTTCCCAATTATATAGATTTTCTATTCCATTATTTAATTTTCTTTATTTGCTTTCCCCTGTTATTTTATCTCCTTTGAATAACATTAAGCAGCTAGCCTCATTAGTGAAAAAGTAATGATCATACATTTTTATAAAACTTATAGAATGTTATTTAAATTTTTAATACAACTGTTTTAATTGTAGAATAAAAAAACTTTTATTTATTCAAACATTTTAAAAAATACAGGGCGCTGAACAGGCCACAAGTCCTGTTTCATTCTAAAATACTCAAAAGCATTTTTGTTCTCTTAAAAACATATGACTTGAGTTTTGATAGCTAATAAAAATGTTTAACAAATCTGGAGGAACTATAATTAATCTGATATTGCACAAACTACCTGTCTCTACAATTAGCTTTGGTACAAATGCGTTCAAATTTGGAATCTGCAAGATATAACTGCATCTAAATGTTAAAATTCCAGCCAAGATTTCTCATGTGATACCATGCTGTATAGTAGTAAGAAGTAGAAAGATGCTACATCTACATAAAGCAAGGATGAGCAACTTGTGTCTTGCCTTCTCAGATGTCTTTATGGGTCATGGTTAATCTCAGCAACGTCTGACTTTGCCAATTTGGAAGATTGTGAGGAGCAAAATGGGGTTTTCTTCATCCTTTAACCTTCCAATCAACTCTTAACCTTCCAAATTGACATAACCTTCCACATGACATTATCAGCAATACACCTCCAGCCTCCAGGATCAAATATATACATTTTAAAATTATACAGCTCTCTACTGTAAGAAAGTTGCTTACTTTGGATAATGCATTCCCAATGACTCTGAGAGGCTCACAAATAACTAACATTTAAAGGAATAAAACGAAGTAATAATAAACAAAAACAAGGAATAAAAGGCAGCAGATTAGAGCAAAATTAAACCCGCACAATCTAATAGGGGTTCTGGAAAAGCATGAGCAAAGAGCCAAGTCTTGAAGGATGGGGACCATCCAGTTTTCAGGGGAACTTAGTTCCAGACGGCAGGTCCTGTGTCAGATGAAATGGTTTAAACAAAAATTTCCAGAGCATACCAAATCTGCCAGATAAAATCAGCCGGGCAGATACTGTTGAAGACAAAGTAACCAGGGCCATGTAAGGAGGCTTCATAGATAACCAGCACCTTAAATCACACCTGGTTGGAAACAAATCTGCTATCAACAGAACTTGTGAAGCAGAAGTGTTATTTGGACCAGATGAAGCTTTAGAGTGATCTTCAAGGGAAGCCCCATGTGGTACTTGTTTCCCCTGAATTTTACAAAATCCCCTTTAAACTATAATTTTAAGAAAATGCTCCAGAAAAAAAAGCTGTTTGGTGCACTCCTTTCAATGTCTCTCTTCTCAATTTCCCTATCACTGCCACCACCGCCACTTCCAGTCTTTATTCCTGGAGCACTACAGTTACCTCTAGCCCTTTCAGGGCAGCTGTCCAAATTAAAATGTCCATTTAGATCTAATACTTTCAAGAAATATTTTCTTCCATTGTTAAAAACCTTCTGTTTCCTATTTCTGACTTGTTTTGATTGCAAGCCTGTTTTGATTACAAACCAGAAGCACTCAGACTTGTATATTGGAAACAAATGGTTGTCTTATTTTTATGTGATAATGGAATATTCCTTATCTTTTAGACATAGGTAGTGTATGAAATTCTGGACTTCTAGAAAGGATTTAGAATTAGTGATAATTGGACGGAGATAGTCATTTATTAAGAGTTAAATACCATCAGAAATGTTTGGCTGGCACATATTAGTAGAATAGGGCAAGAAATAATTGTCTCAAAGCCTAGTCTTATACCAGTTGATTGCAATCTTGTGCCCACTAGATGTGCTGGCAACAACTTCATAAACCCCATCTACGGGAGCCAGAATAGCTCAGTGTAGTGTAATCAGTGGTCCCAACTCCACAGCACACATTATTGTAAAAAGCTGCTTTCAGAACCACAGAGTTTTTCAAGGCATTCCAGCAACAGAGAATATAGCCAACTTTTCAAAGTGATTAAATAAAGTAAGCTTTCCACTGAGTCCTTTATAACACTATATCCAGTCTTTATGCTGGGTTATGAAAAAATAAACCCAGCATTACTGTTCATTTTTAAAGTTATGTAGCTAACACTCTGGCATTAACAAGTAATCAGCTACAAAAACCATTTTGTGAGCCAAACCAGTATTTGACAGAAGCTTAACATTTGACAGGGCCAAGTTGCTCCAGACTGAACACTGGAAAAAGTAGTATTTAGAATGCTTTCAAGAAAAAAAAGTAACATTGTGCAGTTACAAACCCAGACATATATTGCAGGCTTTCCTTACCATGGTGGCCCTCATATATTCAACTCCAGTAAATCCCAGCTGGCATGGAAGTTGAAATTCAATATTATAGAAGGTATGAAACTGGGAGAGGCAGATGTGGCAACTGATGTATTACATATATTAAACCTCTTAGTTTGCATTACCAAGTGAGGCATTCCACTTTGTAGCATTTATGAGCATGTCAATCATTTTGCATTCATAATTGTCAAACAGAAAAGATACATACCGGACAAGATAAGGAGCTCAATAATCTCTGCATCGCCCAAGAAAGCAGCAACATGAAGCGGGGTGCGCTTCTCCATGTCCTAAAACAAAAAGATGGTTAAAAAGGGCCATTGCAGATCTTGTGCCATTTGAACTAGGAGGCCAAGACCATAATTTAGTAGTGGTGTAGACCATTTTTTTGAAAGAGAGAGGGGCTGTCTTTAAGTCAGTGCTGACTCCTGGCAACTATTTGGTTTAGCCCCTGAAGTTTTCTTGGTAAGGTTTTTTAGAAGTGATTTCCTAAGACCTAGGCTGAGAGTGGCCTGAAGTTACCCACCCAAAGTTTAGCCTGGTGCCTCAATCAATACACCAAACTGACTCTTTCTGTACCCCATGGAATGGTATTTAAATTTACGAACTGGTGCCTGAAAGTTTAAAAGAGAATAATATCTATACATTGTGTGCCATCCATTTTTTATTTTGTTCCCATTCTTTTTTGCACATTAAAAGTGTTAAAAAAAACAGACTCCTTATTCTTATTATTCAATTTTTCCAAAATGATGTAACAACACAGTCCTACAACGGGTAGAATTTAGTTTGTGGCCCTTTCCCTTTCTTGCAGGTAGCATCTATTTAGGTGCCACAAGTGGTAGTATTCTACTGATTCGGCCCGGTTCTGGCCCAGTGAACCTGAGATGAAACTCTAGGGTAGGAGTTTACACAGCTCCCACATTTTTCCCCCCACTATGATCCTTTTGATTTTAGCTCTTTATTTCACTCGAACTATTTGTATCTAGGTCTGGTTTCAATTCTCAGGGGACAGAACTTAGGACTATTGTTTTATTATTATTTTGCAAAATGCCACAAAGCATTTTGTGCATGGAGGCCAAATTTGGAAACAACCCTGTGTTTAAATTATATCTATATCATGTTGCTGAGGATGGTAGCTTGATTAATCTCAGAGAAATTGGACTAAGTTGTAAATAAAATTTTTTTAAAATAAGAAAGCACCTGCAAATAAAAGGCATATGGTGAATTAGGCAACTAGCCCATAAAATGAGCTTGTTATGTACATTTGGATCCAAATGAAACTGGTGTCTCTGTATGTGTAAAGCACAACTCAGGATGGTTCCAGAATACTGTAAAACCAAAGGCAAGAAAAACAAGAAAACTAGACGTCTGACTATCTCCAATCCATTATACAATACAATCCTACCCCTACAGGATCCTACCTCATCTTCTATTTAGCACCATTTTTTTTTTTTTTTTTTTGGGTGTGTGTGTGTTTGGAAAGCACTAGAAGAAAACAGTGTTAGAAGATACGAGTAAACAAGTAAATCCAAAATTTGTCGGTGGCTCCTGTCCTAACCCTAATACAGAACTGATTCCATCCTACCATTATTAAAGTATCTCATATGGTTTAAAAAAATAAATCTAACTTTCTGAAATTATCTAGAAACATGTTACCCTGCATCACTGCAGAACATCTATACCTCAATAAATTAGTAGTACCCTTAAATCTGCCATCTGGGGCTTTCTTGAATTACAGAGCTCAAAGTAGAAACTGCAAAGGTAGTAATTAGCTAGAAACAGATATTCTGAGATTCATTAAACTTGCGGCACTTTTACTGTAGACCATATTTTAGGAATATGTAGACATTCTAGATGGAGCATTAATCTCAAATAAAATTAAAAACACATCAAAAAATCAAAGATTTCCTCAAGTTGCACTTGACTCTTGAAGATATGCACATGCCGTTGTGTTTTCTTGCCAACAATATAGAAATGTTTTACTCATTTTTCCTTCTTGTTTTCCCCCAATCTAGTTTACAGAGCTGGCACTTCCTGATAACCTTTTATTAATCTTTCTATTAATTAGACCTAATCCTACTTGGCTTTTTCACTATTAGTTAAAATAGGTCAGATATTCAAGAGTGAGTGGCAACTGAAGACCAATTTGCAATATGTAGAAATTATCAAGTTCTATATCAAAAGGACAGAAAAAAAGAAATATCTGGGCTCATATATTGAAAACATCTCTCTTCCTTTATAAATATTTTGAAAGATTCTAGTTTACATCAATAATTGAATGAAATAAAGTCAATTGCAGAGGAAGGACAGCTCACCTTATTAAAATAAGCATGGTATGTTTTAAGCATAGATCTTAAATAAAAAAGGGTTGGCCTAAAACAATAGCTTCATTTACTTCATCCTTCAGTAAAAGTATTTTGCATTGTTGCGTAAGTTTGTGTTAAAAAAAAAAGCGGACAGATACATGAGGAAGATAACTTTTGCTGACAAAATCGTAAGAACAATGAAGGACAACTGCATATGGGTGTTATTCAATCATTTAAACATATCTTCCTTTATCTAATTAAATCCAAATATGTTGGACTAGAATATTGATCAATATGGAATTATGGGAACTAGAATCCAACTAAAGTGGAGAGCTTTAAATTGTCGTTGTCGGTTATTAAGTCATGTCCGACCCTCGGCCACAACATGGATCAACAGTCTCCACGTCCCTCTGTCTCACACTGCCTCCTTCAGTTCCACCATGGTCATCCCAGTGTCATCTTTAATAGTGTCCAGTCAGCAGGTTCTATATTGTGAAAAACTGTTCTTTACATGGATTTTCAATTATTCTGTAATAATGTGAAAATAACCAATTTTCCAACATTGCCAAGAAAACTGCATGTATTTCTCAAAAGCAGGAAGAACAAAAACACTAACTTGCTGACTGCATTTCTGAAGTGGTAGTTCAAGCAGGATCAAAAAGTCTATTGCTAGTGTTTACCAATTAGGGAAGTACATCTACATACGTGCACAAGAGTCATAAAAATACTTTGACACTGCTGATAACAGAACACTATAGCCAAAATATCAGTAGAAGAGAATACAGCCAAAATAATTTTAGGGACTGCACCATAGCTCCAAAACATGAAATCCACCTGCTCTAAATTCAGGACAAAATGGCTCAATTTTAAAATTGGTCTGTCCATCTTAAAATATTGGGAAAAAAACCCTATAAACCCTTACTCTAACTGCTAATTTATGGCAGCTTCATATTCTCTGAGGCTCAGGATAACCAAATAAATCCTCATAAGATACAATGGATTTCAGACTGTGCAAAGAATAAATGAGAAAAAATGACCTGTCAATATAAAAATACTTTAATATTAATTATAATCATGAAATATTGACTTTCAGTGAAATTTAGATATACAATAATGGGAACCAGCCAGGTCTCTAAACTAAGCACATATATTTGAGCTGTATAAATTCAGTATGAGGAATTCTAAGTCTCCTATTCCCTGTGGATATTTAGTCTATGAAGCCACATGCATGAACACTGCGTTTACAACCAGGATCATACAGAGAGAAATTTTTGAAGAAAAAAATAGAGCAATCAGCATATTTGAATCAGTAAAAACAAGCTAAACCAAGTAAATTCATAATGAAACACTCTCTACATATAATCATACTATATTTCTACACAAATTCACATTAAGAAAGGAAACAAATGCTATATCTATTCTTTTTATGACATTATCCAGCAAATATCACTATCATTGTAGGAAGCCCAAAATCACACCTTACTGGTTTTGAGAATCACAACCCAATACCAGTCCTTCATCAGTAAAAAGTAAGTTTTTTCCCCACATAGGTTGAAACAGGAAACAGCGCTTACTATGCAGTAAGAAAGAGACAATTAGAAAGCCCTAAAGTAAATTACACAAAATGGTCAGGATCACTCAAATGGAAGTCTCCTACAGACACACACAAACATACAGAACGTGATCCTCTACTCACATTTTTAATATTGACCTAATTTTGTGTTTAATATTAAATATTAGGTCCATGAGCTTTTGCAATCCCTAAGCAAGACTTAGCTGCTAATATATTCTTGCCTTTCCTCTGCTCCTATACATCTGGAAAGAGAAATGGATTCACCCCTCACAATGAGACTTAATGTGCTTTGTTTGGTTTTCAGATATTCTGAACAAGGTTGTTGATGTCTGAACAAGTTGCTGTGGTTTAGTCACAAATCCCTGCTTAAAATATTTTTATTTTATTTATTAAATTTATATGCCGCCCATCTCACTCTAACAAAGCAACTTTGGGCAGCATATAAATCATAGTTCAGCATATTTTGTAAAGCCAGTTTTACATATCAATTCCATTTTCCCTAACTTCTGAATTGCATGTTGTGGCTGTTGTTCAGTCAGTCAGTTCAGATTCTTCAAGACCTGACGGACTTCCTTTCGCCAGGATTGCCTGTCAGTAACTGCTTGGTTTCTTGTAAGCTCTCACTTGTGTCATCAGTGATAGTATCCAAGCTTCTTATCTTCTGTAAGGCTCTTCTGATTGTTTTCAATTTTCTACCGGTATGCATCTGCATCTTCTCTGATGACCCTTGTTTTCATGATATGTATTCAAGTTTTTAAAGTTTTAACTTCATTACTAGCACTTCCAGTGAGCGACTCAATTTCATTTCACCTAGTACTGAATTATTTGTTCATTGTGTGGTCCAAAGTATTCTGAAGAATTTTGTCTAGAATTACAGTTCAAAGGCATGAATTTTTCTTCATTCAGCCTTTCTGACGGTCCAGTTGTTATAGTCACATGCTGCAATTAGACAAACTATGACGGTAATAATTCATGTGATGTCTTTATAATTTCACATTTTGTCTAGTTCTGTCATATTTTTTTGCTCAAGTAGCAGATGCCTTTGCATTTCATAGCTTTAGTCACCAACCCTGTGAAATTTTGAGCCCACTTTTTCATTGCTTCCAGCTTTGTTTTTTCTTGTTTCCATTGGATTGGCATTGCCTTAAGGACTTTTTAAATATGAGATAATAGACCAACTTTTGTACTCTTCTTTTACCTGTATTAATTTATAATTATTATAATTTAATCTTTCTCATTTCTTGCTATCAAAGTGGTATCGTTAAAATATCCAAGACTATTAATGTTTCTCCCAGCAATTTTAATTTAAATTCTCTTTCTTCCCAACCCATATTTTTAAACATATATTCTACAAATAAGTTAAATAAATATGATAACTACACAACCTTGACTCACTTTTTTCCTTATTGTGAACTATTTTGTGCTTCAAAATAAAGTTAGCTTGTAAAATAAATCAGAATAACTGGTTTGCTAAGTAGCTAGTGGAGTTTTTCTAAGCTTCTACTCCTAATTCTTACTAATAAGAATGATAAGAAATTCAATAATTGTAAATATGCTATTGCTATACCTGACCTAACAAAAGAGAGATCATAGGAAACACACAAGACCTAAATATTCTCATGCTAGGAAAGCTTTAGCTTATCTACAAATATCCTATTATTTAAAGTTTGAAAAGTATATTTAGTATATTTTCATACAAAGAATAAAAGTTACTTTAAATATGACAGTTTTATCTATTCATCCATCCATGTTTTTAAATTGTTTTATTTTATGCTACATAGCAAAATTCTATTGCGTTTGTTTTCTTTTCATTATCTTCAGAAGGCCTATGTAATAAAGAGTTCTATTGCCATTAAAAATTCATTGCCAAGTGAAGCCCTGAATCTTTCTCTTCACCCTGCTTTACAAATATCTAAAGTGAGAGAAAACATGCATGAGCTCATCAAGGCTCATTTGCTTTATTCCAGATCAGGACAACAACCTAGATGTTTAAATGCAAACTAATCTAAATGACAAGCAATTACCTTTCTTATTTGCTCTTTCTTGAATAAAGAAACTTAAAAGAAAACCACCAAACTACATCTTTTCAAGAAAGGCAATTCTATCACTTTCAGTTGGAAGGTTATGTAGCCTCATTATGAGGGAGGGCAGATAAGTACATGCCAAGAATATACAATTCCAGCGGGGTCATCCAAGATGTGACAGTCATCCAAACCACCCATCTAAAGCAAGAAGGTGTTTATATTGGTCCACAGCTAAAGGGAAAGATGCTGGAGGCAGAAGATCATTTTAATGACAAAGACTAAGGCATCATTTCATATTGTAGGAGAGAAGACAATGGTAAACTGTTCCTATTTTACCAATATTTTACAAGAAGACCATGTGAATGGAAAATATAAAAATGATTATTGATATAGTGCCTGATGATGGCCCCTTCAGGATGGATGGTACTCAGCATGCTTCTGAGGAAGAGCTGAGGATCTCTCAGAATACTAATGGTGATTATGACATAGCTACATTAAAGCCTTCAGGTTAGTTATTGATGTTGCCATACAGAACATCTTTATATGTACATGGACATTATCAGATATACCTAGAGATATCAAATTGATTCTATTAATGGCACAAGGAAGTAAAAAATACTCAATTAAAAGGGGAAATACATGGCCAGGGGCTGACTGTGGAATGGATCAAAAATTGCTCAGGTGAAAATTCCAAGTTAAACTAAGGCAGCAGAAGAAAGCCAACCACATTCCATGATATAATTTTGAGAATGCTCTCAAGGATACTTTCAAGGATAACATCAGTAATCACTTTGAAATCCCAAACCTCCTAATAGGGAGCCAAAGAAATAGTGAAATAGACTTAAAGTTGTTAAGGATGAAAGGATGAGATTACTAAAAGGAGGAGGAAAATGTGGTAATGGGTGTGCTGTTTGAAGACTTGAAAGACTAGGGTTGAGGACAGATCCTCCTGGATTTGACCTGATGGCAATTAATCCATATAGTTTAAATAAATACTGTTAATAGAAGTTGTGTTTATCTTGCATACAGTCAAAGTGACCCACAAATGTCTTTAAAGATCTGATACTTTTAATGTGTCACAAAGCCTTTATATTATTTTTTAAATCCTACCCTGCCCACCCTCTGGAATGTTTTCTTACAATATAATCTCCCATAAAAATGCAGTTTTACATATCTTCATAGTCTCATAAAGAAATGCCTTGAAAATTTTGAAATCTTAGTAACAAACACACCATCTTGCCCCTGGCAGTAGCTACTATCTTTGAAATGTCAGCATTTACTGTCTAACACTGGTGACTATCCACCTCACCACAATACTGTTATTACAAAAACAACATACAAAGCAGCACCAAAACAAAAAACAAAAAAGCACTTCCATGAAGAATGTAAGAAGAGAACCCAGGGGGACATCTTGATTTTGTCTGTTCTGCCCAATTGAACTTCCATAACTATAGGGAAAAAGCTCAGCATCTTCACTTCACAAGCCTTCCAGGTTGACTTGTCATTAAATACTGATTGTGAAATTAACTAACAGAGGAATCCCTAGTAAATTGTTGCTTATAATCCACTTCATTGTATCACCTGCTCATCTCTATGCCCTAAAACAATGCAAAGGAAAAAAAGGACCCATTCTATGTATTGTTGCATTGGTACCACAAATTCTGCATAAATAGAAACTGAAGATCCTATGTGGCCTTGCAAGCTAAATCTGACAAGAACAAGAATTAGAAACCTTCAGGGAAAAATCTGTCTTGTCTTGTCTGTCTGTCTGTCCATCCGTCCATCTATCCATCCATCTATCCGCCCATCTTACCACAGGAACAAAAAGATATGTTATGCCAGAGAAAGTAGTTAAAGCATCAGATTGAATACCCAGAAAGTTGTCAGGCAGAAATATTTCTGATATATAACATAATTTAATTCGAACACTTATGGTCCAATGGGACATTTCTATTTCCATCATACTCATATGAGGACAGACTTGTGTGATCATAATTCTGAAGTCTTAGGCACAACTTAGAGATAGGAGCAGAAATGGTTTATTCTATTTCCAAGCACAAGGCACACCTGTATATGAGCCTAGTGTGTACTAAATTAACAAAAAAGGGGGATTATTTGTTGTAATTTACCAAATTACAGTTGTACTTTTAAAGGTAAGAGGCAGAGAACATTATTTTGTAAAATTATTGGCTTTGCTATGAATCTTGTTTCACCTCCACCAGACATTTTCCTCCTATCAATGAAATACCAAAAGAATTAGAAAAGAAATGTATAAAGTTGCTTACCAAAGCATTAACATCTTCAGTTTTGTAGATTAATATACGTATCTCATCAGGATCGCCGTTGAAAATTGCTTGGACCAGCGGTGGCTAAAGAGATAAAAACAGGAGTGGGGTAGTGGTGGAAAGAGAGAGGTAAATGTTATTCCTCTCTACAATCAACACAGATTCAAACCATTGCATACATAGGAACAACTCAGCTGTCTTGCACATCCTCCTTTCATAGAAAAAAAGGCTCTTTAATGCAGCTGATGGTAGCGTCCTAGAAATTTAGACACATTCAACCTCTTCATTAAAAAAATCTAATACAGGTAGTCCCCGAGTTACGACCACAATCAAGCGCAAAATTTATGTTGCTGAGTGAAACATTTGTTCAGTGAGTTTGCCCCATTTTAGGACTTTTCTTGCCACATTTGTTAAGTGAATCATTGCATTTGGTTGTTACTTGGCAACTGGTTCATATTTATGAAGGTTGCAGTATCCTGACAAGTAAAATCAATGGGGAATCAAATTAATAACTAACTGGATTCCCCATTGATTTTGATTGTCAGAAGATCGTAAAAGCTGATCACATGACCCCAGGACACTGCAACAGTCATAAATATGAACCAGTTGTCAAGCATCTGAATTATGATCACATGACCATAGGGCTGCTGCAATGATTGTATGTGTGAAAAACAGTCATAAGTTACTTTTTTCAGTGCTGTTGTAACTTTGAACCGTCACTAAATGAACTGTTGTAAGTCAAAGTCTACCTGTGATAAGGACAAATTATTTTGGTTCTCCAAATTCTATAAATAAGGTTGCAAGTGTTATGTCAGTCCAGAATATAAGTAATGGATACTTGTACAAACAAGGCTTTCAAACTGAAAAAGGTTTTATCATCACTCAGTTTAATACCCTGTCATTGATTGTACTAAAGGACAGATATTAAAAAAATCCCAAATTTCTCAATTGTATCCATACTTTAGTGTCAGTAACGTAAGGTAATATTTTTCAGATTCTATTTTTTCCAGATTCTGGGTTGGGACTACAGTTTTAGTTTTAAACGATACTATGGTTTTATCTTGGGGACTGTAGTTTTAAAATAAATATTTTATTAACAATATTATATATCCATATTTAGGATATAATCTGAAGTGATGTTATTTGACATGTTTTCTTGAAAAGACTTGGCTCTTTTTATGTTTTCTGACCAAAATAAAGATTAAATATACTTGTACAAAAATAAATAGAGGTTCCTTTTAGGCTTCCTGCACTACTTTTAGGGAGAGCCTTGGTTCCAAAATGGCTAATATCCATTTTTATTTTTATAACTAAACTGTTGCCCTCAGGATCACTGTTTCCAGGTGAAAGAGAGGCCACTTCCTGTAATGCCCTGGAATCTGGCCATTTTCCTAACCTAGAAAATTACAACAAAATAACTTACATTTTCAAATGCATCAGATAGGACTTTGACAACAAGCACTTAAAAATGTGTGTTATTCCTGGAAAGGAGAAATATCAAAAGCATATTCTGTTCTGAACCATTTATTTTGGAATGACATTCCCTGCCAAAAATCCCTTAGTTTGTGGCACTTCAAATTAAAATTAGATAATTATTCATTCAAAGAATGTTTTACTCTTAAAATATACAGTACAAATAAAGGTGAAAAAGCCAGAGCACTAAAATAAAAAAACTCCAGTAAAATCCAAAGACAAGAAAATGGAAAACAGCGGTTTCAAATCAAGTCTTTCTGCCTCCTTTCCAAAATTTCATGGAGTGTTCAAACAACAAAATAATTTTTACACAGTTTCTTCAACTTCTTTTAATCACACATGCAAAACCATTAAAGGAGAAAACAGTGGGACAACTGAAGAATGTATTTTAATTAATAGTGTCCCTAAGATCAGGAATGTCCAAGATGAATTGAGACGAAATTATAAGAATCAGAAGAAATAATCACTGTCCATTTACATAAACACAGATTAATATTTTGCATAGAGTCATCCTGAAAATTAATTTCTTTTTCTTTACAAAGCAGAGACCCTTTCCCCACAACATATACATGTCATGGCATCATCTTTTTTCCTGAAATATCCTTATGCTGTTGCTGTCATCTTGTCCATTACTCATGAGTTGGACAGACTTAAGACACCACAAATGTTGCACAAGGACTGATTCATTAGGTACACGGTGGCGACACAGAAACTGATATTCAAATTACTTTTAATAATTCTGTTGTAATCTATCATTGGTGGGCCTTCTGCTGTTGTACTCCCAGAAGCACCACCCATCTGGTGAAGGATAAGTGACGTTGGATCCTACAGTATTAGAAAGGCTTTTGCTTAAGATAGTCCTTATTTCAAAGGAAAACTTTAATTTCCAGGAAAGACATATTTATTCCCAATCCATGCCTCTGGTTAAACTTCCAGGTCTTCTATTTCTATTGAAGGAAAAATGGAAGAAACATAGGATTATTCTCTCACTCCTATGTGTATGAAGCCATTTGAGAAGAATTTGAGACAGAGTTGTTACAGCTCATTCCTGGTTTTTTAAACCACATGTTGGTCCCCAAAGGGCTCTTTCCAGCTCTCACCTTGCAGGAACAATCTACCCAAACTGACTATCCCTTACAGAGCAAATCACTAAGCTATCCTGGGGCTCCTTTGATTCTGGTCATCCCTTTCATGAGTCCAGAGGAAAGATCACTTGGGAGGGTGATTCAAATTTTCTTCTTTGTTCTTTCCCCCACTTCTTTGTGGGAAGAGGGAACTCTTTCACATGAGAACTTTGTTTCCCCTGACTTCAAATGTACAATGTGTGAAGGGGTAAATCAAAGCACCCTTTGCTTTCCCTCCTGGCTTTCCATCAAGGTGGAAGAAACTGATAAGACCCAAAGCCTGGCAACCATTTCTTCAGTAAAGCCATGACTGGTGGGTGTTTTTATAATCAACTGTGAATAAACAGTATAGAGAGGCTACAAAGACAGACAATTCAACCAACCACCCTGCTTATCATGTGAGGTACACCCATTTTCAAAACATCACCTTCTGGCAATGAAACAGATCAGGGAAGATAAAGGTAGGGTAGAGATTGGCAGTTGGGCCAATAAATTCCACACTAGGATAGAATAGATACAAATACTGTAGATTACAATGAACATGTAATTGCTAAAATGTATGAAATTTTACTGAAATTTGAAACAAAAGTAAAAGAATGTATGGTACATTGAGCTAAAAATTGGTTATAGTATACAGATAGGGAAATATTGTCAAGAATGTATAAAGGTACTTCACATTTACATTGGAAAGGTGAACACAAGAAGGGACATTTTATCATGTTTAGTGGATATGTAAAAAAGCTAGAAAATTCTGGATTAAAATATGTATGCTGATTCAGAGGATTTTAAAGATTAATATGAAATTGAGGCTAGAGGTTTTTCTTATATGATTGATGGATAAATACTTGGAAAAAAGTTATAGAATTTTGATTTTTTTTACATAACTGAAGTGAGATTATTAAGGTACATGCACAAAGATGGAAAGATTCAGTAGTACTTACAATGAAGATTATGAATTTTGCTGAAATAGCTAAACTGACGTCTTTGATCATAGACAATAGTTATGTTTATTGCTGGCAGGAACCCCCCATAGACTTTTTGTGTGAAATAGAAAAATTAAATTTATGGTTTATGGTTTTGATGATTAGACAGGATAAATTATACAAATAAGAAAATTATACTGTAACCATAAAGTTGGAAGTAAATTTATAATTGTACTTATAACTGATATGAAAAAGATCAGAAGCTACTTCTTTATGTCTTTTTTCTTTCCTTTCGATTTTATTTTTTACTTTTTTACTTTCCTTTCTTGCACTTTTAGATTCCTCTTCGATTACTTGCATTTTTCTTACTTTATATTAGTTTGTGTTATTTGTATTAATGTTTATCTTCTTTTTAAAAATACCTTTAATAAAAATTAAATTAAAAAAACAAATTCCAGAGTTTTCTACCAACTTAAAGATGGTTCGATAACTCTTACACTCAGTTTGGATTCTCTGGTCCTGGGAAACACATTTTGTTAATAAATATTTGCAAACCACCACAGATTTTATTTCAGACTAATTAATTTATTAAGGCAGGAAATTATTCAAAGTTACTCTATTCAGTGTCCAATATCTTTTTTGAAATGTAATGGCTGTAACTGGTAGACAGTGAAGCATTGATTCACTTCAACATATCTTGTGTTACCTCCTCCTCCAATACTGAACTAGAAGCCTAGGAATAGGGAGATTAAAATTATTTAGGAAGTGACTGAACAAGGCTAAACAAGGAGCCTAAAGCAGAGTGACTGGATTTAATAACAAAAGCAATGAGGAAATTTGGGGTGAGATTGAACTGAGAGAATTTTGGAAGGTGTATTTTAAAGCTCTGTATGGAAATTCTAATAATAGATCAAAGGGTAAAACTGAAAGAAATGCAATAAATGTTGGAATTCAAAATAAATTGAAGTCATAAATGCTGTGAGAAAGTTGAAAAGTAGTAAGACTACAGGCATACATGGTACAACTGGAGAAATGTTAAATATATATAAATAGTCTACCAATGGAAAGGTTGGGTAACTTATTCAATATTTTTGCAAAGATTGTATGTGTTCCTCATGATTGAAAGAAGGCCATTATTGTTCCCTTATAAAAATGGGAAGTTAGCAGGGTGAATGCAAAATTATAGGTCATGTGTTAAGTTTACCTAGAAAGGTGCTTGGCAGAATTCTGATATAAGGAATAAGAGAGATGCCAATTAGAGCTGTCCATGAATTGGGAAGCATGCTTTGCTTCACGTAAAAGCAGATACACTGTGTCTCAAAAGTGCTACTGAAGCATTCTAGGTGGTCTTTAGTTTGGCAGAACTGGAACATGGAACAATTTTTTGTTCCAAGTTCTGTCCAACTCACTTAGAAAACTGAATGGGCCAGCTGAATATGTTGCTTCTGAAACCAAAGATATTGGTGGCAAGAACCCACCCATCCACCTCTAATCTCAACACCTTCCTTTCCCTACTTCCATTTATATGTCACCATTGCTGGTGTTCTCAAGCTTCAAAGCAGGT